CTCTATATAATGCTACAATAATCTTCTTCCTTTTTATTTATTTATTTATCACCTGATAAATTAATATTGTGTTGACAAATTAAATGATAAACAAAATATGATCATTATAGCAATACTACTACAAAAATTTTGATAATTTAAAATTTTCTTTAACATTTTTTCAACTTTCAACCAGGGAAGTATAGCTGTTCTTTCCGTAGCAAATTATTCATAACTGTCACTACGTACTGAAATAAATACTGCAGCGTCATAATGAGGCTGGTTTCAAAACTCAGCACATTGGATAGATTGTTGCCTGTCAAAATACCACCCTATTGATTAAATCAGTTAGACACAACACATGTAGACTTGGATCATCTTCAATTTTTGTTTGAATAAAGATTGGTAACGCTTTGAGGTTTAAGTCCCAAGCTCACAAGTTCAATTCTTTTCTTGGGCTAATTTCTTGGGCGAAACACTGTTGGTTAGGAGGTTGGACCTCAAGGATGCCTAATTAGCTACTAGGTGTGGGTTTAATGCTCCCCCACTGTGCGAGTCCTGACTTAATCGAAGCTTGCTTTGGGAGGTCGGGACAAGCTTCCAGGTTACAGTCTCTTACTCGGAACGGACAATAGGACACCCTGGTGATCTCCTCATGGGGCGGCCTTGGACTTGCGGGAGGGTGGGAGGATTTCCCTGTAACAAAAAAAAAAAAGATTGGGACCCCTTTGAAGGGTCTAAATCACTGCTGTTTTTGTTTTTCCCCAATTGATAGGAAATTAATGAGGAGAAATTTATTTGATCTTTTAGTTGGAATTGCTCTTAGATGTTCTAAGTCTTTTGCTAGCTTGGTAGTATTTTACCAAGAGGAACTTAACTCGTTCACGAAATATGTAATTATATATTATTTGCTCATTCTGTTGTGTGGTTATGTTTATTGATAAGAAATAGTCACAAGTTAAAACATCCATATCCACCCAAAAAAAGTTAAAATATCCATTAAAAAAAAAAAAGTATCTTGATTATCTAGAAACATTTCAATTTATTTGAACTATTTTTACTATATAAGTTGCAAGTAGAAACAACAACAAATAGTCTAATACATAATCTCACAAAAAAAAAAAAAAAACAAAATAACAAACAAAAAAAAAATCATAAGTGGTTCATTTAAGTTGCAACAAAACAAACATGCACGAGCCAGCCCCGGCATGCCAAGAAGCATCAAAGAACTTTATAGAATTATTGCAATCTCCCTAGTGTGATTCTTCAATGAGTATCTGAAGTTACCAGAGTAGATGACACTGCAGGATGTTTCTTCAGTGGGCTAAGCAAAAGCTGTGTATGAAACTAATCATATTGAGAAGAACCTAATGAAGAATGGATAGTACAGGATACAAGGGAGGTTTTTTTTCTTATGGAAGAGGTAGCTGAGAGAGTTAAAATCTTGGAAGCAAACTGACAGGTGAAAAACAGACTAGTGGGAAGTGAACAGGCTGGACCTAATAAATATGGTCCAACGTACATTTATAGTGGGGCGCAGCTTTGAAAATTTCCAATAAATTTTATGAACACGTAATCAATCACAATAAATAAGGGGCCCATATATCTTATGATAGAGGAATCATCCTGCCTTCTAACAATTTCGATTAGGGTCTATACTCTTTCAATTCTATTGGTTGTTTTAGGTAATATATATGAGAAAAAATAAGAAATAATGATTATGTAATCAATAGAATTGCAAGATCATACTCGTAGAATATAAGATGGATCTATGTGATAATTTTTCTTCATGGTGGGATCTATGGTTGAAGAGGCTACTCCACTCACGTTGCTTCACATGTTTGTAGGGATGAATTTTTTCCAACCTCAACCCTAGCAAGTTTTCTCAATCCTGATGGGGAAGTGGACGATGATAGATTTTGCTCTCTCGTCCCATTCTACCTTCACTCGGCGGAGGGACACAGTGACCAGGGGGTCATGTGCCTCCTGACTTTTTAATAATTTTTTTTTTGGGTCTTAATTGACATTCACACAGTTATAATCCGACATCTTCACTTTTCAATTAATTTTTATTTTTTATTTTTATATTTTTAACTCTCAATCCCAACCAAACACACTATCACGCACAGCCTCACATCATCCACGTTTTGTTTTGTTTTGTTTTGTTTTTATTTTTTATTTTTATATCTTGTATTTTGTATTTTATTTCATTGTTATTTTTTTGAATCCCAATCCCAACAAAACACTGACACACACAATCCCGATCACGGAAACAATCTAAAAATTTGCTGGGCAATCTAAAAAAAAATTTGCTGGGCAAAGCTTTCAACGGCAGGTGGTAGGATTTCTAAAACCTCAGCAGTGTATGAAATTCTTTATTTTTTTATTTATTCACAGTACTTGTTAAAAGTGTCTCTGCATTTTGTTGGTCTTCTTTGTCTCCCTTTGTTGCTTTGCAATTTACCGACTCGAGATTCACCAGACCGGGATCACACAACACAGATTTGAGACCACACTACAATCTTGGTGTCTTCTCTTCATTGTTTACAAGTAACTTTATTTTTTATTTTTTACTTTTAAACAAAAATTTTGAGTATTAATTTATAGTTATTTGTTAAGTTTTGATTTGTTATTATTTATGTTAAAATAAGAGATTTTGATATATTAAAATTATGAATCTTGATTGGTGGTGACTTATATTAAAATTAGAGATTTTAGTTTGTCGTTTGTGTTAAAATTAGAGATTTGATTTGTGCCCCCGCTGTATTAAATTCCTAACTCCGCCATTGCTTGCCCCCCACTCAATTATATTTGTTAAGGCCTCGTTTGGCAAGAGGCTATTTTAGCCAATTAGTCAAAAAGTTACTAAATTAGTCAAAAAGTCAAAGATTCTCTTTTCTCTCTATTTTTTTGCACATCTTTTCGTAATTAGCCAAAAAGTCATCCCAAACATACAAGTTTTTTTTACCTACCTTTTTATCCAAATAACCAAAAAGTTACTAAATTAACCTGTTCCCAAACGAGGCCTAAATATATTTACATGTATATAATTTTATTTTTCTCTTTATAATTAAGATTATAAATGTTAAAATATTACATTTAACACTCGTTTATTATTTTTTATCCGATGTGTTTAACTCATTAATTATAAATTATTATCTGTAATATACTACATTATCTCTAGTTTTTATTAATATCCAGATTATTAATATCCCAAATCATATCAGGAGAAGGGCAAATTGGGAAGGTGGCAGAGGCCGGCACTATAAATCCGCCATGTTGCCATCCTTATCTATATTTTGGGAAAATGTTTAAGACGTATAAAAAAAAAAAAAAAAAAAAAAATTCCTACAATTGTACCTACAATAATGCTATATTACACGTGTTAACTTTTGATTTGTCTATATTTTGATTGGTCTCTCATCAATCTTGGATTTGTCCTTGTATATGATTGAGCTAGCTCTCGGTGCCAACCTAATTGGGATTGTTGAGTTTAGTTATAATGCTTGATGCACTGTCCTATTTTTATTAATAAAAGTTTTCATTTGTATTTCTTTCTTCATCAATAAAATTTTCTTTTGTTAATAAAAAAAAAAAAAATTTGATTTGTTATACATCAAATAATATAGGGTCCCACCCCTTTTGTGACATCAACGTGAGTGAATTTGTGGATTAAAAATGTAAGGATGTGTTTGGTAACGTTTACGTTTTTAGTTTATATTTATAAAAATTTTATAAACTGATTTTTGTTTATTTTTAGAAAAACATAAACTACAAACGCGTTTGGTAATTGACAAAATGTTTAAAAAAATTTAAAAATATAAAAAGAGTGAGAAATGGCAAGTTATTTTATCTTTTATCTATCTCTCTTCTCTTTTTTAGCTTTTCAGATTCTCTAATAAATTTAATATTTTCCTTTGATCTCAAATATTTTCTTTTGACAAAAAGAAGCAAATAGTAATGACCTTTGTTGGATATAACTGGTAGATTTCGAAACTACTTATTCTTTCAATGTCTTGTAGTGTTTTAGCATGTTTCGGTGGAAACATTAGAATTTTGGTATTTCTCTAATGTTTCATTATGGTTTCCTAAGAAATAAAAGCATATCCCAATGGAAAAGAAATGAAATTTTGTTCCTCACTTTTATGTTCAGGTATAATTGCATTCATTATGCCTTTTAAGGTTGCAAGTCTGTTTTCAATATAATTTTTTTTTAGATCTACTTAAAGTAGGATCTTGATCAATATTTATACACTTACATGATATACACACATACCCACATAAATATTTTCGGGGACTCCTTTAGATCTCATGAATATTTTGACCACTTTAGATGGTTATTCTTATTATATGGTTATAGGTGTAGTTCTTATTGTTACCCCTTCCAGCAGTGGGGAATTTCATGTGTACGTTTTTCATGGACCCACCTATCCCATCCTCACCTTGTAATAGCAGATCATTTTGTCCTTTGTGGTGCAGCATGTCCAACACTTAAAAAGGTTCCTCATGTGTTGGTTATTCATGGAGAGAGTGATGGTACGCTGGAGCATATGAAGGTTTGACATGAGATTAAGTTATAATAGTGGCGGATGGTGTGGATGGTGGTGGCGGTGGTGGGTGGTGGATGGCGGGTGGTGGGTGGCGGAGGCGAGTGGGTGATGGGTGATGGTTGGTGGGTGGCTGGTAGGTGGTGGTGGATGGTGGTGGCAGATGGTGGTGGCGGAAGACGGTGGTGGAAAATGGTGACAGGTGGTGGCTAGTGTTGGGTGAAAAAAAAAAAAAACTCAAAACGAAAACACATTTTTTGTGTTTTTATTTTTTGGCCAAATTTATAAACTGAGACCACTGATTTATAAATCAAAAATTTTATCAAACAAGTTTTTATTTAAATTTTTAAAATTTTTATAAATATAAATAGAAAATTGAAAACGTAAGTATTACCAAACGACAACTACGTATGTAGCATAACTTATTTTCTGTGATCGAGCATGTGTCTGCAAAATTATTGTAAATTTGATATCGATGTCAAATGGCAGACACTACGAAGAAATATAAAAGGATCCGCTCCGCTCTCATGAAAATCTCAGTTGCACTTGCAGCACCATTGCCTATATAGAACTTGCAAAGTAATATAAACCTACCTCTCTCTCTCTCTCTCTCTCTCTATGGAGCTCTTCATGGCAATCTGTCTGCTTCCCCTCACCTATGTTATCTTCCAACTTTTCAAGTTGGTCTTAGAGAGGAGAGACCAATGCTGCTATATGTTAGCCTATGAGTGCTATAAGGCCCCAGAAGATAGGATGCTAAACACTGAACTCTGCGCAAATATCATCCTACGCAACAAGAACCTAGGCCTGGAAGAGTACAAATTCCTCTTACAAACCATTGTCAATTCCGGCATCGGTGAAGAAACTTATTCCCCAAGAAATGTCATAGAGGGGAGAGAAGATATCCCGACTCTGACCGACGCACTATCCGAGATGGATGGCATCTGCTACGAGACGCTCGACAAGCTCTTTGCTCGAACGGGGATTTCTCCGTCCGAAATCGACATACTCGTGGTGAACGTGTCATTACTCTCCACTGTGCCGTCTCTGACAGCCCGGATCATAAACCGGTACAAGATGAAGGCAAATGTGAAAGCCTTCAATCTCTCCGGAATGGGTTGCAGTGCAAGCCTTGTAGCCATCGATCTCGTCCAGCACTTGTTCAAGTGTCAAAAGAATTCACTTGCCATTGTTGTGAGCACGGAGTCCATGGGTTCAAACTGGTACTGTGGGAAAGAAAGATCCATGATGCTGTCCAACTGTCTGTTCCGGTCCGGTGGTTGTTCGATGCTCTTCACGAACAACAGGTCTTTGAAACACCAGGCTATTTTGAAGTTGAAGTGCATGGTTCGTACACATCTTGGCTCAAACGATGAAGCCTATGAATGTTGCATACAAGTAGAAGACGATCTGGGTTACCGAGGTTTCCGACTCACCAAAGACCTCACAAAAGCAGCTGCTATAGCTCTCACTCGGAACCTACGAGTGTTAGTACCTAAAGTGCTACCAATTTGGGAACTACTTCGATACACCATCGTGTCTTATCGTCGACGTAAATCACAGCACACCAAGTTGGAAGGGGTTGGATCGGGTTTGAATCTCAAGACCGGCGTCGAACACTTTTGTTTACACCCCGGTGGAAAGGCCGTTATTGATGGGGTTGGCAAGAGTTTAGGCCTCAGTGATTATGATCTTGAACCACCCAGAATGGCACTTCATCGATGGGGTAACACATCAGCCGGTGGACTCTGGTATGTTCTGGGTTACATGGAGGCTAAAAAGAGGCTCAAGAAGGGTGATAGGATTCTGATGATCAGCCTTGGTGCCGGATTTAAATGCAACAATTGTGTGTGGGAAGTGATGAGGGATTTGAAGGATGGCAATGTTTGGAAAGACTGCATAGACAGCTACCCATCAAAAACCGCTGCCAACACTTTCATGGAAAAGTATGGGTGGATCAATGATGAAAGTGCAAGCTTTATCCGACTTGACTAAAGTTGTATTTGGATCTTAGATTTGTGCAGGATTTTGTTGAGAGAAGAGAAAAGGAATCATTTTCCTTTCTTTTCCTTTACCCATAACAGATCCCTCCACAAATTCAATATTCAAATACAACTTAAAACATCATGATATTCTTGGTTTCACTATGGTGCTTCTTTATCCCTTATAGTTTTTAATTTTCCTTTCTGTATTGCATTTTGTGTATGATTTTCAAATTCCAGTGGGGTTCTAATGCTGCCCTTGTTACTTGCTACATGAATTATTGTAAGTGTGCACTACTTTTCAGATCAAGTGTTTGATTCAGCAAAAGAAATTAGAAATAAAAAATAAACAAAAAGATTGATGTATTTCATAGATTTTATTTTGATTTTATTTACAAAGTTCTTATGTTTGTAATTTGTGTCTCAAATTCCTAATATTGTGCATAGTTTTCTTGTGCAAAAATCAATATTTTATTTTTAATTCATCGTCAAACAAGGAATTCAATGGTTCTTGTAAAAAATAAAATCAAAATAAAAAAAGTGTGAATTAATTTGGAATTGGGGTCCTTGTTAGGATAGCATTATCAAGTTGGTTGTTTTTAATGAACAAAATCTCATTCTATAGGATTTTCATTGGATAAAATTATATTGTCAACAATATCTTGTTGAGAATTGAAAGATTTGTTATCATGAATGCTAATTGATTGATTGATTAGTTAATTAATTGGATTTTGAATTGGCTTGAGATCTATTAATCAATTGTTATTTGTCAAAATTGAGAATGATTTGATCATAATTGGCGTATTCATGCCATCCCATCCCTTTTTTTGTTTCGTTTTGTTTTATTTATTTATTTATTTTTTTTGTTTTGATCAATAAAAAAAAGAAAGAAAGAACTTTTATTGATGATAAAATCATCCATCAAATGAGGTTACCAATGCTAGGTATCATGAAAAGTCTTTCATGAAAATGGTCATGAAAGATTTGTGACCTTTGGATTATACTTACAATAAAGCACCATACACTAATCAAGGTAATCTAAGGGTCACAAATTTTTCATGATCCTTTTCATGACAAAATTTTCATGACCTCTAACATTTCTCTAAAAAAAGAGATGGAAGGGCAGAAACTATCATAGCAAACTATCTAAATTCTAATTAAATTGACACTGAGAAGAGAGCCCAATCATCTGCAAGCTCAACCACAAAGGATTGGTGAGTAGAAAGCCACCCTACCTCTCTCTAGGGACATTTCCATAGGACTAAGTTATTTCACACTTGTTAAAGCACATTTTGATAAGAAAAAATTTTCAGGGCAATTATCTACATGTTTCTTGATCTTGTTGGGTTTCCCCTTAATTGTATCCAATCATTAGGTGCCGTTTGGTAATACTTACGTTTTTTGTTTTCTGTTTATATTTACAAAAATTTTAAAAACTCAAATAAAAACTTGTTTGGTAAAATTTTTGATTTATAAATCAGTGGTCTCAGTTTATAAATTTGACCAAAAAATGAAAACACAAAAAATGTGTTTCCATTTTGAGTTTTCAGTTTTTTTTTTTTTACCACCCAACACTAGTCACCACCCGCCACCATTTTCCACCACCGTCTTCCGCCAGTACTGCGAAAGTTTATAGTCCTCCAGCACAAGGGACTTGTGTTACTTAGGCCCGTAGCCTGGTTTAACAAGGACCGCATCCTTTTATTCTTAGTACTGCGAAAGTTTAGAGTCCTAC